CTTCATCATACCAATCACTATGCTTCCAACATTATATTCCGATCCATAGCTTGTAACATATCAAGGAATCACGAAGTACAATATTAATATTTAATTACGTTAATCAATCAGTGAGATAACACATCATTTCACGAATTTAATTAAAGAACTCTACATAATTCCCAAATTGGGTTAAGAATAATAACATGATAATTCTAATTTATTTTCACAATATCTATTGTGGTTAATTCCCATCTACTCGAATTTAGGATTCTAAGATCACCTTACGGAATGAACAAGAGTAAGGATTCCGGACCACTCAACGGAATCCAACAACATTGGGTTCCGGACCACTCAACGGAACCAAAATATCAAGCGGTTTCTCATATCTACCTAGACCTGTCATATGTAAAGTCAATGCCAATATTATGGAATTGGTGCACAGGCAAATCAGGCACCCAGACAAGCTGAGAGGCTCGGGTGAGGGACAATAAAATAAGCATGTGATACAATAATAAATCTAGCCATCAATCATAATTTATAAACCTTGAATATAAATCTTTCATAAGAAATAAATACCCTACTTTTGAAAACTCCGAGGGAGTCACCCAGACATCCAAAAGTTCATTTCAAACAACCATAACATCTCACACCCATATTCACATACACACAATGAAAGTAGAATTAGGGCGACACTGTTCATCCAAAGCCTACACCTTTGCAACCATCTCAAACTAAACTCAATGAACTAATGTGGATACAATCCCGGACCATCACTCAACAGGATCGTGGAGTAAGAGGGATTTCGGACCATCACTCAACGGAACCCAAACCAAGATACGATTCCTTACCATCACCCAATGGAATCGCAAAGTAGAGTAGGAAGAATTCCGGACCATCACTCAACGGAATCCAAACCAGGATACGATTCCGAACCATCACTCAACGGAATCGCGGAGTACATTGCATAACCGCCAATCAATGAAACAACACATGAATCAAGTTGCTCAAGTTATAAAGGCTTAACGAAACAAGAAATGAAATAATGAAACGAGCATTGACACATGTTTCAAAGAAACAAACCCCATGACAATGGGTTAACGGTCCACCACTAGCCCTCACCTTCATCAAATCAAGCCAATCAAACAAAACAAACCATATTTCCAATATGCACGTCAAATCCCACTTCATATAACAATATCATTGGTTAAATATGAAAATTAACAATTTATAGGAAAAATGATTATAAAACCATTTCATATTCACATATATTAAAGTCACTCACATTTCATCATAACATACCATCTATGTACATCAAACACCTTTCGAATATGCACGTCAATTCACATACCACGATCATCATCAGTACACAAGCCAAATCATGTTTGATAAACATAGGTCTATGGCTAAATATATACAAATATATATATATATATATATATATATATATAATCACATTTCAATAGAATCACATTATAAGACCAAGTCAAATTCACCGATGATACCAATATAAGAAATCAAGGTAATAACCATATCACATATGTTCAAGTCACTCTCTAACCAATGTAGGCCTACTAGACTTCACTTAAGTCTCCCATAGTACTAATTTTATTATTTAAAACATTCGAAGACATGTTGACCATAAATCAATTCTCGGTCAACGATGGGGTCCACAACAATCCGCAAATCAAATTTACGATCTATAACTTCCCAAAGTCCACATTATGCTTCGAGGATAACATACTAAAGTTTCATTTTGGTCCAATGGTCGAATTGTCGACAATCACACAAACAAGTGGCGGTCCAAATTGATCACCACACCAAACAATTGAATCCTTGGAAACCAAGCTAGACATAGGTTCACATGGTCACTAGAAGGTATTTGAAACCTAGATAACACTCGTGAATGATCCCACGCACCGCCACACGCGGTGGAAGTCAAGATGGAGGGTTTACAAACCCCGAATTTCAACATTAACTAGATGAGCTCAAATTTACGTGGTAGCTAGAGCTCAACAAGGGAAACACTTTTTACAACTAGGCCGATGATAAATTCTAACCGGAAATCGTCCAATTTCACCGGAGAAAACCAGATTTCTAGGGTTCTAAACACTCAACTCTAAAATGAATACGAAAGCACAAACTAAGCATACCCACTTGAAGATTATGAAGAGTAGATGAAGTTTCATACCTCACTCGAAGGTAATCGTTGCCGGAATTGCTGGAAAAATGATAAAACCGCCGGAAAAGTCGTGGACTTTGCGACCTCGAACTGCACAAAGGGAAAAGAAATGGGAAACTCTAACATCACAGAGATGTAGGGCTCGTTAAGAGCTTTCCATGGACACAAGATCATCCAAAACGGAGCTCGGATGAGAAAGATACAAGCGGGTCGAGTTTGGTGGGTTTATGGGTCAAATTTCCCCCTAAAACGGGTTAGTGCAGTTTCCATCCCCCATTTTCTGAAAACCCCTCCTCCATTTCTGGAGGTTTCCCTCCCATTCATAGCATTTTGGTAATATTACCAAAATGCCACCAACTTTAAACGACTCTAACTTCTCCGTTCGGACTCGGAAATCAGATCTGTTTACGCCTACGCGCTCATGGAATCGAACTCTACCTAACCAATTCAAGAGTTGACCGAAAAGGTTGAGAAAATTGGAAATGACTAAAGTAACCCTCACTTCGTTTTTCTCAAATTTGGAGAAATAAAGAACTAGTCCCAATCAAATCTTCGAAATACGTCAAGAATAGAATAAAACCATAATTTTAGGGACGGGATATCACAAGTTGGCCTGTGGGTTTGGGTGTGCAAGGGCTAAGCCCATCCTTGTGGGCTGTGGGAAAAACTTCAGCCCACTGGGCTGGATTGGATGGCTGTAGCTCGGGGCAACATAAGGCCCAGCAAGCACATGAGCTTGTTGGCAGGCGGGCCAAGTCATCATGATTAGGCTCGGGGCTTCAGGCCCTGTCAAGGTTGATTCCAGGCCGAGGCCTGGTTGCTGTTTGCACAGTGATGGTGTGGTGGTGTGCCGCACCATGTCCAATCCCCCCTTTGTTTTTGAAATCCCTTAGGGTTTCCTAAACCCTAAATTTGCTTCTAATTTAATCTTATACATTGACTCACATATTCCACATAACAATTTAATTGTGTGAGGAAAATATAAACATAGAGGGGTTCATGCATCATGGGGAATGTTTTCATGCTTCATGGACGTTTCAAGTATCTTTTTTTATTTTAAGCGTACCTGATTAGCAGAAAACGAATATAAGCCTTTGAATTTGGTGGATGATAGCCTCCTCCTATGATGCGTCAATTCCTCAGCTTCTGGCAAGAGCATGCAGATAACATGTTGTAGGCCTATTTAATTAAACGATTTAGGGTTTAGAGAGAGAGGGGGCCGACCACAATTAGAGAGAAGAAGAGAGAGATGTGTAATTGTGAGATGTGTTTGATTCACATTATTGTGCCTTTATTTATAGTAGTAGGATAGGTAAAAACCTTTCCCTTTAGGTTACAACATTTAATAGGTAATCAACTCCTAATAGGAATATAAGATACATTCTCATATCTACTAGGATTTACATAATCACATTCTTATTCTAAATATGACTGCAATAGGACAGAAGTTTTAATAAAATTATCCAAAATAATTATTGCTCCACATTTTAACAAGTTCATTAATTAATACTTTCAATTTTTTTTATTTATAAATAAAAAATCTAATTGAGTCAAAATTAATGAACCAATACTTTAATTTTTTTTTTCTTTTAAACATTTGCCCCCAATATTTATCAAAGATGTTAGATATAGCCTCAACAACTTTTAAGGTCAGTGTGAAATATTTAAAAAATTAGTTATCGAAAAACTAAAATTCATTACCTATCAATTGTTAAAGTCAAGTTGCAATAATAGATATGTAAATGAGTCTGTAATCATTGATAAACGACGTAAATAGATGATTGTGTGTTGTTTGACTTGTGTGGTACTTTTTTTTTTTGTTACTGGAGTTTTTCTTCTGTGATTTTATCCAGATAAAATTTTAACGGGACCAGTCATTTACATGTGATTTTTTTTAAAGATGTATTTTTTGGTCAAACTGTACGTTATACAAAAGCGATACTCAAGTATTTTGACTACAGAGCCGAGTTTTAAGACTTACTCATTTGCAAATAGCTCATAAAAGAATGAGTAAGAAACTTGGTAGCTTTAGGTTTTAAGTAATACCTTCACTTGCCCAAATTTGGGTTGATTTTGGTAAATATAACAAAGCTAAATCCAACGAACTAATGTAATGCATCAACAATCCTATGATTTGAAGCAAGTGTGACACTAAAAATTGTTCTACATCTCCCAAAAGTGGTTTTAGGAAGTTAATGAACATAAAAAGTTCTTAGTAGTAGAAGAGATCGGTTTTCTGCTTTTCATCAACAAGTTTGGAATTACATCTGAAACGAGTAAAATCGCTTTCTGGTAGTAAAAAACGCTTTTATATGCATTTGACATATACTTTTTCAAGAACCACCTAACAAATACTTTTTCAAGTAATTTTTCATTTAGTACTTGAATATTGTAAATTTCAACTCTACCATAGTTGAAAGTTGAAAACACTCTTAACAAAAGCGCTTACAAAAGAAAGGGTTGGAAACCATGCAATAGACAATGAGAGAGAATACTGGTCACGTTTCCGTTTCCCAAGAAGATACACAAACCATGACCCAAACCCAACCCAATTGGCGGATTTAGATCCTTGTCGGATCCCCTCCTTGAGGATCCTAGGGATCAACGCACAAAGATCGTTAATAAAAAATCGTACAACCCCAATTAAATGTTTTTTATATTTTTAAAAAATAAAGCAATCTCGTTTTACATGAAAATTATAAAAAAAGAAAAAATTGTAACCGCATAATTTTTTATTAACGGTCCGTGCGTTTTGATCTTTAGGATCCCTAGGCAGGGGATCCAATTCCCCAATTGGCTACTACCCTCTCTACGTCACTTTCAGTTTCTCACTAGCCTCCAGCAGCCGTACAATACCTCCATATTTACGGACCTACCCTTCCCAGCTCACTATGAAGTGCATTCCTTTACCATTCCCTTAAAGTCCCAATTCTTTTCCCAACCCAGGATTCCGATTCCCCAAGGAGAAGAGGATGGGAATTGATCTGGAATCAGTTGCAGAGGCAACGTCCGGCGCCATTGGAGCTCTGGTCAGCACCACCATCCTGTACCCTCTTGACACCTGCAAGACCAAGTACCAAGCTGAAGTCCGAGCCCACCATCAGCAGAAATACAGGTTGCTATTTCAGCAACTTTTCTTTTCTGTGTTTTTTTATTTATTGAGTTGGGTCTAATTGTTTGTATTATTTGAGCTTTATTGTTACCTATGTTGCACATTTTTATTGGGAATGTAATTGCAGTTTATGCTGTATGCTAGCATGCTCAAAGCTTTTGGCTTTTGGTGTTCGGCTTTTGATTTTTGGCTTTTGGCTTTTGGCTTACTTGTTTACTAGAATTGTACCATTGGGTCCTAAGATATGTAATTGTTTGTATGATTTGCGCTTTATTGTTACCCATATTGAATTTTGTTGGAAATGTAGTTGCAGTTTATCTCATAGGCTGGCATGTTCAAAATTTGAACTTTTGGCTTAGTCATTTGCTAGAATAGGATTACAGATTAAGTTTAAGTTCTACATTTGTGCCAAAGAAATTGTTACTCATGCTGACTTAAGATGAAAGTCGAACTAGAGTTGTATTTGATTACTCTGTGTGTGTCTGATATCCGAAAAGATTGTTCATAGACGAGCCTGCAGTTGTGTATTATGCTTAAACAATGTTTTTTTATATGATATGCCTCCAAAATGTGATCTTTTTAGAACTCATTTGGATGTGCTTTTAAAAGGATTGAAAGTGCTTTTGGTGAAAATATTTTTGGAAACAATCCTTAGTAAAAATGTTAGTAAATCCTGGAAAAACACTTAAAATGCTTCTTGGGAGAAGCACTTAAACTGCTTTTGGAACCTAAAAACATTCTCTAAAAGTGCTTTCAATCATTTTAAAAGCACATCCAAAAGAGCCCTTAGTCTTTCCCATAAAAGCAATGAGGTAAATTCGATGAACTAACCATAGAGTAACAAACGCTAGCGACCAGTGATTTAGCTTGTTGTTTTGAACCAGCTCTATCACTGAAGTTGTTCTTTTCTGTCTCTTCTGTTAGTTAACGGAATTCGGTATGTATCTTTGTCTTCCTTTTCACTTTGAACTTGTTTCACCTGAGAAGTATAGGAAAGAAGGAAATTTAATTCACCCTAGGAAGTATTATTCGTAGGTTGAACGTTATCTGATCTCTTGTTTTGCAGCTAACTTACGACTGCCTTTTCTAATGATTCATAAAGCAACTATCATCTGAAACTTCTTTAGTTCCAAAAGTTAAATTTCTCTGGCATTTGCAGGAACATTTCTGATGTGTTATGGGAAGCAATTTCTACCCATCAGGTGCTTTCTTTGTACCAGGGCCTTGGGACAAAGAACTTTCAGTCCTTTATTTCACAGTTCATCTACTTCTATGGATACAGTTTTTTTAAGAGGTTATACTTGGAGAAAAGTGGAAATAAAAACATGGGAACAAGAGCAAACTTGATAGTTGCAGCCGCTGCCGGGGCTTGTACAGTCATAGTGACACAGGTGAGTTAAGAAAACAATATTTTCCTTTACCAAAGAAATGCCGGTTAGTCCTAATCCATTAAGAATCAATGACCAGTTCCAAATCGTATTCTGTCACAAAGCAAAGGCCTCGTATTTGTATCGTTTTAGTTACTAATTTTAGTCCTAGCTATAAGATGTTCAAGTTTCTGGTGTTTACTTGCAGCCCTTGGATACAGCGTCCTCAAAGATGCAGACAAGTGAGTTTGGGAAATCCAAAGGACTCTGGAAGACGCTTTCAGAGGGGACTTGGATTGAGGCATTTGACGGTCTCAGCATATCTCTTCTTTTGACATCTAACCCATCTATCCAGGTACTCAAGTGTACGCTCAGGTTACGATATACCATATACAGGCTATTATAATTGTAGATGCTAAAACGACAACTTAATTTGAATCTTGAGCTGCTTTTTGTACAGTACACAGTATTTGATCAGCTCAAACAAAGGCTTTTGAGAGGACAGCTGAGCAAAAGAACAGGTACAAAGTCATCTCCAGAAGCTCTTTCTGCCCTTTCTGCTTTCGTATTGGGTGCTGTCTCAAAGTGTATTGCATCCTGCTTGACATACCCAGCCATCAGGTGGATATTCAATTCTATCGATCCCCTATGCAGCACGCATATACTTTATTTTTAGTTTTTCACAGAAAAAGGCAACACAGGTTTTTAGAATTGATGCATATCGTACCTCCCTTCATATATGGCCTTTATGTAATGCGACAGGTGCAAGGTCATGATTCAAGCTGCAGAAGAAGATGAAGAAGGCAGCAACGGAGCTCAAAGCAAATCTCAAAAGTCCCAAAGGACAGTTTCAGGTGCATTTTATGCCATTTGGAAACGAGAGGGGCTGTTGGGTTTCTTCAAGGGATTACAGGCTCAGATACTGAAAACTGTGCTAAGCTCGGCATTGCTTTTGATGATAAAGGAAAAGATCACAAAGACAACATGGGTCATATTGCTTGCTGTGAGGAGGTACTTGTTTGTCAACAAGAGCAGATTAAAGAGCGCTTGAATTAGCGATGACAATGAGAATTGAATACATGAAGCGAGTCCTCGTATCAAAAGTGTATCATTGGATTTGTTCACATTTGGAGTTTTTCACATCGGATGCAACAATATTGTCGAAGCTGGAAAAGTCTAGTTTCATATCAGCAAGGAAAATATGGATTAGAGAGGAAATTTTTTACTTTGATGTATTTGGGCTTTTTTAGTTGTCCTGTTCAATCACATATATGCATGAACTCGTCACCCTTGAACTTCAGTCCGCTTGGGCCAGATACGTCGTGGAATGCATTTTCGGCTTGATTATGCACCACCATGCTTTGCCTTGTGGCTTATTTTTCCTATGAATCCTTTGTCATTCCTCGTACACAGCCAATATCATCACCATAGCTTGGCGTTCCTCTTCGGAGGATTAGCCATCATATCCTTCTTGTGCCATTTGAAGGATGTATTCATAAAAGAGGGTGAAAGCGAAAGAGATAAGAGACCTCACTTTTACAGTGAAGGGATCAAAAGATAACAATTTGACAAATGAGATTGAGATACGAAACTCTAATCCAAGGTTGTAAAGAGTTGAAATCTTATCTCGATCAGAAATAATTGATCATAACATAATCTATCGATTGGTCCTGTTTTGGTTCACACGAAATTATGGTCGGCCTTAACCGACTAAATTCTTGTTGGTTGAATGATTGAATCATACCGCATTGTTGTGACTCGATATATATAATATAACGGAGTGCAAATTTATTTAAATACTGATGACAACGAAGAAAATGAGCACGGTTCATGCATTCTACCACAAAACTACAGAAAATTGAAAGCTCAATAACAACGGTGATACTATCAGTTACAGGACACATCAAGTTATGCAAGAATGAAATAATCTTTCCACCAACAAAGCAGCTGTCATTGGAAATTTATGCATCTCTTGTGTCGAAAAAGCAGAAAACTTATCTTATAGCAACCTTTGCTTGAGATTTCTCCGTAAATGCAGCAATAGCCAAGAAAATATGAACTGTATGGAGATCCTCTTGGTTTACTAATGAAAGATAAAACCCATTAGCAGAAATAGCAAGTAGGGAACCAGACTGATCTTGGAAGCTGAACTGGCGGAATCTTGCGCATCTGGTGAACTTTGTGCTGTCACAAAGCTTCCTTCTGGTGTGCTCGTGGTCAGGACAGCAACAATCCAGTTCTCTTCAGAGCCAATTCCAATTCCGGTAAACTTAGTGTCGTTAAGATTATCAGAGTACTGAGACTGTGTGAAGTTGGTAAGGACCAGACTAGGAACGAGGCTGGGAACACAAGCAGGCATTACGACCCCATCTCTTGTGTTAGAGACATTCAAGTGGCATTTAGCTAAAAGTTTTGGATAGTCAGGAAAATTAGGTTCAGTGCCTGGTACTGTGTTGGACCCTGTTGTGTTTGTACAGGGTTGACTTTTGAATTGCTCAGCTATCTCTTTGGCAAGGCACTCTGCGTTGGCATTCTTTGTAAGGGCCGTTAAATTCAAGGTGGAAGCCCTATAGCTGTTGATGCCTTGAAGAAGACTATCTTCCTCATCTACTGCAGAAAAGAGAAAAGGAAGTTTCATTAGCAAGATCTACAAGTCCACAGGGAAATATTACTTCCAGTCTTCCACTAGACAATCATGCGGCAGCATATCAAGTTAACTTTCGGCTTTCAAACCAGAGTTTAGCTTCGAGATATTCTTTAGTTAGGCAAGCAATGTAGTGTCTTGTGGTTGGTCTATTCCGCTTTATCTTTTCGACAAGCAGTCTTGTATAGAATTAGCCCCAAGAATATGTTCCTATCTTTCCAGAGTTCATGGAACTAAAACTAGAAACAATATAGCACAACAATTTTTACTGACAATGCAACTCTCTGACCAACATTGACAACCTTGGATCCTACACAACTTAGGAACTACAAGTCCCGCGAACTACGCCTATTTTTTGAACGCGAACTGTGCCTATATTGTATCATTCCAATTTTATCAGATGTTTCCGAAAGGGAATGAAACTCAAGAAAAGAATGATACAAGTCTTTAGGATCTCTTCCTAGACAGATCATTGATTCCTCCAGTGAGATGCAGAGAGTTAAATTGTAGTTTTCCCACAACACTCCAACAACAATTGCAAAACACTAAATCCACAAGATCCAGTAAGCTAATACACATTCTATGTTGTTTTTTTCTTGATCCAAATTAATTAAACCCAGATTAATATCCTCTAATCAGATCTCATCTGAAGTGGGGGTTTGAACACAATATTGATAAATTAGAAACAAAACCAAAATGGAAATAAAATCATGAATGTATAAAAACAGAAACAGAATTCATAAACTCCACCATTGTCACAAAGCCTCAAGATTTGGAAGTCAACTAAAGCTGTTGAGCAAAGGGACAAAACTTTACCTCCATCGCATTTGACCTGGTGGCTCAACAAAACAATGCAGGAAAGAAATAGTGGGAGGAGGAGGAGACGCAGCGGAGACGCCATTGTCGGCGGAACTTCTGGTGGATTTCTTGCGAGATCAGATTAATGACGGTGGTGGTGCAGAGAATTTTTAGTTTGTGGGAGTGTGCTTTTCTCTCTGTTGCTTTAAGTAGAAGCAAACTCTGCTGCCGAAGAGATGTCCTAACTGAACGTGACGACGACTTTTTGGTGAGCCTTCGCGGTCTGAACCTACTGTGTTTATGGAGTCAAAAGTATACCATTTGAACTTGGGGTAATTTTTAAGAAAACTAATGAAAATTACTTGGAAACTTTGAGTTTTAACGATAAGAAAAAAATAAATGGTAAAATAAATAGTACCAGGATTGACTTTTTAATGTACAAATATGGTTTTTCATTGAAGTGAACAGTACTGAGAGTTTTTTGTTAAAATTTTCTAATTTTTAATGTTTTGGTGAGCCTTCACGGTTTGAACCCACTGTGCTTAAGGTCACATGTGATATTGGAAGAAACTATTAGTTTCATACTGGTTAAGGGTTGTGATGTTCGGACGAGGATTTCTTTCATCTTTGCGATCAGCTTTTATTAAGTATTGTTTGTGTTCAATTTTAAATAAAAAATTTTAAATAATTTTTAATCACAATATGACTGACAAGATGATCTCTAAAATCCTTACAAAAAAGATTTTAGAGATGCTACTTTTAAATCGACCCATGTGGTGAAAAAAATGTTAACCCTGTGGTGAAGTTCGTTATCAATCGTAGTCCAAATTGAAATTTCTGTCAAAATCTCATCCGCATGCAGGGGTAAAAAGGTCATTCCATTTTTTTTGGTAATTCAACTTTTTTATAATCAACAAAAATAGAAGGAAAAAAAAAAAGGGACCCCAATCCCTACCCTTGTCAGCCACAACGACCACCCACCACCTTCCCCCATCTTTCTTACATAACCCTAGCCATCCCGTCCACCACTGTTCTTCTTAAAATGAAATTGTATTCAATGTTTGCGTAATAACTTATATTCTAACCTAAAAGCGGCGAGATACTTTGTGATTTTTTAAATCTTGATTTGGACTTTTGGCTCTCTTAAAATGAGAAAGTCTGATAATATGAATCTTGTAATTTTATTGTTTATTTACTCTTTTATTGTAGTTCTAAAAGTTTAAAAATAAAAAAAAATTATGTCCATATGGCGCTTTATGATTGGTTGATAACATCAATAAAACGAAAATAACAATTTTGCCCCTACAAATGACTATTGAATGAGGCAAAAATCCAATTTGGACTATGATTGATAACAAATTTCACCACAAAATTACAATGGATAGTTTTTTCAGCACATAGGTTTATTTAAAAGTAGGGTATCATCACAAGGATCGCGAAAAAAAATTTGGCCAATAAAATTCTATTTTGTGACTTGCATATCTAGTGGAAGAGAGAAATTACATGTAGAGTCACTTTCTATTTTGTTGAGAGACAATATTTATAATATATTAGATAGAGAGAAAACGGAAAATGATCCGATCATTTTCCTAGGAATCCCGTGATTGTGACCATTTATCGTATTTTGTGCGGTTATAAATCATTTCCAAATTAAAATTTTAAAATTAACTATGAATAATACCTAACGAAAATTGACCGCAATATATACGATGAACAGTTACAATCACGGTATCCCTAGGATTCCTAGGAAAAAGAAAACAAGTATCCACGTGGAGGTAGTATAATCACAAAATTGCCCCCCACGGTTTTGAACAACGACTTCGATGGTTAAGCTCAGTTGCCGTTTGTTCAGTTTTTTGGTTAGATCTCTTTCGTCTGGCTATTAATTCTCTGTGTTTTTGTTTGGATCTCTATCGTTTTGGTTGCTTTATATGCAATTTGGATCAATTCATTCGGTCATCCCAGTTTAGTTTCGAGCTTGAGATAATTTTCGTTTCAATTTCATCTTCCTCATAAGATTTTTGGTTCCAGAAAAGTCTACTTGTGAATGAGAATTGAATTTGATGTCAGAAAGGAGGGAATTTCTTACGCTTTGACACATATCTTTCATCCTCTCGATCATTAAATTCCTTCCAAACCATAACGTTCTAATACTTTTTTCCATTTTTCTTTTCCCACTAGTACTATTTTGGTAGTTAAGTTCAAGCGATCTTGATTAAACAACCATGAACTGTTACGATTGAAAATAAAAAAATTTAGTAATTTTTGAAATCAAATTTAATGGTAAAACATCCAAATAATTGAAGCCAAGCCCAAATAACTTTTATAAATAACTCTTTTCGTTTCAGATTGACTTTAATTAGAAAATTATCATTAATACTTCAATAAGGTGAGAGAAATCAAATTTAAGACATCTTTTTCAATGACAGCGATTTGAACACACTTAATTTTTGTTTTGTTTTTCTATCAATATAGTGCATGCATGCACAAAAATCTCGTGTCGAGGGCTGCCCCTCATAAGCATATTCTTCTCGGATTCATAAATTCAAAGAAGTCACGAGGGACTAATCTGCAATTACGAGTTTTTCTTCGTGACTAGAAGACAAACACAATATGTAACTGGTGGATGCTATTGAGTCCGGATAACGTGGCCTAATCCTCCAACAGCTAACAAGCATACCATGTAGAAATATTCAAGCTCTATTGCTTCCTTCTCCTTCCTGGAATTTACATCCAAGGGCAAAAAATGGCTGTGTCAGCGGATCATTGCCGGATTTCGCTCTCCGCCACCAGCCAATGGCACAGTGCGGCGGGAGCGCCGAGGAGGAACAAGAGGCTTGTGAAGTTTTGTAGTGGAGAGATGATGGGGAAGAAACTGAACCTGCCTCAGCTTCAACTTGGAGGTGGTAAGACTAGTAGGGTTGGGAAGCATGTTTGCATGTCGATTGCTGCTGATATAGTTGGCGAGGCCAAAGTGAGCTCTTAAACTCGCCACGTAAATAAGCATTACTTACTGATTAATTTGCTACTTCCCAATCATAAATTTGATTTTATGCATGATTTGCTGTATCTTGATGAGATTTTCTCTCCACTAAATCATCACTTGAATTCTGAAGTTTACTTGGGCTTTAAATTGCTTGGCATTATTCAATGTTCACGTTTTTTCTTGGTTAGTGATTTTAACACTTGTTTTCTTTAGCCTCCTACTGCCTTCTGCAAGCATAGAAAAACTTACAAAAAAATCCGTTACGAGTACATATGGCTAAAAGATGAGTGCCAAAACTACTGTATTTTTTATTTTAGTAATAACGAAAGCAATAATGCAAGTCAAACCACATTTTTTTTATGACAAATAATACATACATGTCATGTCAATAAATCATTTATTTCAATAAATGTTAATTTAGTAATCACATTTCACATAATAAATGAAATTTTGTACAAATGAGTAATAATATTTTGTTTGGTACAACCATATATTTATACAATGGCTTGAGATTTTTTTTTTTTTTATATAGAATGGGGAAATAAATTGGTATCAAACTCATTATCCTTAATATTTAAAGATAACTCAATCACAAGTTAAGAATAATATCACTAGACTTTAATATTACATGACAATAAACTTAGCATTATTAAACGAAAATTTAAACATTGTCAAATTAGGCTTGATAAGAAGCCTATGATATGTTAATACTTGCCCAATTAACATTGCATATGATGTGGAGTTAATATACGGGCTTTGGGTGGATATAACAGTTGGGGGACATCGATATTGACAAGAGGAATCCACGGACGGTCGTTGCAATCATACTGGGAGGCGGAGCTGGTACTCGGCTTTTCCCACTCACCAAGAGGCGTGCAAAACCTGCTGTAAGTCTCTTCCTTGTTTCAAAACTTCAAGCTGTACTCCATCCGACTATGAAACATGCGTCCATTCTTTAAATAATACACAATTAACGTGTCATTTATAATGGTCGATATTATTGTAGTAACAAAATATACATATCCATATATTATCAATACATTGAGATAATATCGATACAATATTAATCCAAATAGCAGATGTGATGCACTCAGCTCTAGTTTGTGCGCATTGCGTTTTAAACAATATCTATTAAATGTGACTTTGTAAGTCCAACCAATGAACATATGTTTAACGCGTTACTACTAGCATAATAGTGTATGACAAATTTTATTTCTGAAAAAAAAGAAAAACAAAACACGAAATGGTTACTAAACCCGCGCTAAGGTGTTGAGGATGCTGCCTTTACTTGTTCTACATTTGTTCTTCTTCATTTTAGGTTCCAATAGGAGGAGCATACAGGCTGATTGATGTGCCAATGAGTAACTGCATCAACAGTGGAATCAATAAAGTTTATATCCTTACTCAGTTCAACTCGGCATCACTCAACAGACACATTTCCAGAGCTTACAACTTTGGCAGCAGCACCTCCTTCGGCGACGGATATGTGGAGGTACATTTCGATTAACATAATTAATCCTGACTTAATCAGCACCAAGTATATCAAGTACAAAATGTTACGCAAACCCTGTAAAGATTAGCCTGCCTGCATTTAGAATTTATATTTATGACAATGTATGTTCTGCAAGATCACCTATCGTTCTTTCGCTCTATGCCAGGTTCTAGCAGCTACTCAAACTCCCGGCGAGGCAGGGCAGAGGTGGTTCCAGGGTACTGCAGATGCCGTCAGACAGTTCCATTGGCTTTTCGAGGTACTCACAAACAACAATTTAGTAAACAGAAAAAAAAAAAAAATTCAAAATGGTTCTTTGTTTCTTGAGCTTCAAGAAAAAGCTAATACACATCAAAGACAGAAAATTCCATGTAAAACTAAGCTGTGGAGAAGTAGTAAACTTGAACAGCATTGTAAGGCTTTCCCATTTGGTCACAATTTGTGAAGGGAAATTTCTATGATTTACCGCGGTAGGGAAGCCTAGAGTCTCCAAACATAGTCCTGTGTGTAGGTTATAAACGCATCCACATTTTCCCTTCACACCCTTCAAGTTGTTACCGGTGTAGAACTGCATGCTTGGAGCATCTGTCCCCAGCTCCAACACTCTTCCGGATTTCTTTTTGTCACCCTTAAAACCATCCAGCACATAGTTGATATCATAACCGTTAGGCAGTTTCTTGATCCTGCTTCTGATGCTGTGAGGTGAGGTGAAATCAAGGGTGTTTCGTTCACCGACACAATTTTACCAGTATGTATAAACTGGCTATCCACCGGTGTAAAATGGGATCTGAAAATCTGTACATAATGGT